ATCTCCAACTCTAAAATTACCAACTCACTAACAAATGGAAGGGTTTTAACTACGGGTTTTTCATGGGAAATCCGTCACTAAAAAGGTGATTCGTTACAAAACCATCACAGTTGGTGGGTAATTTAAATCAGTGACAAAATACCCGGACATTTTATGGGTCATCCGTTGGTGTTTTCTTGAAAATATTGGATTTTACCGGAACTATTGGTATTTTCTGGGTGATCTGTCAGTAATTTCCGACGGAAATTTCCCCGAGTGATTTTTATGGTTAAAAATCATTTGTTTTATAGTGACTTAGGGGTTTTACCGACGGATATTTTTGTCTGAAAACCGTCGGTGATAGTCAAAACCGTCGATAAAGGTCTTTCGGCTACAGTTTCGTGGGTAATGATATTAACGATGAATCACCAATGGATATCAATGACGGATCTCCAAAAACCTACTTTAACAACATATTCCCGGGTACTACTACCGTTACAACGTATTTCCAAATGACTTCTTTAGCGACGAATTTCAGGGAATCCCGTCAATGATGGAGTTTTGTCAGGCTCCTTTACCGATGGTTTTCTGAGGGTCCCAGTTACCGCCGAATAATCCATCAGTAATCCGTTGGTAAATTTCCAGTACGTTAACACATGTATCATATGTATACTAGTTGTGTACCCGCGCAATGCGGCGGGAGCCATGAATTTTAACGATTTTGAAGTTTCACTGGTTTTATAAGATAAGATTTAACGATGATATAGGTTACACTTGGTCTTTACATATTAATACAATTTGAATAAATAAGAGTTATGGTTCCAATTACAGGCTATCGATGGAAAAAAAAATTGTATAACAATTTAAAATTCAATATATTTAAAATTCAACATATTTAAACGACTCCACAAATGTGTTCGATTTACACCAAGAGCAAAGAACCAAGAAACTTGAGTTTTAAGATAAACACTCAAAACCAATAAAGAAAACTACAAATTTGGCAGATCATAAGCAATGAAAAGACAAAAAAGATGAGTTTTAGAATGAAATTTCAACTGATTACCCTCTTTTTTGTCCAGAAACTCAGATTAAGGTTGAATTAATACATGTATATATATATATTTCAAAAAAACCCAAGAACATATTAATTCAGAACATATTATACAGTGCAATTTGGACAGCCTAACCCCAAAATATAATATATATATATATATATATATATATATATAAATAACTATAAAAGTATAAATCGTAAATATTAAAAATATTTTATATAATATATAATAATATAATTAAGTCAAAAACTATTCAATATTATAATCATTTCGGAGGTATTAACGATACGATTATAATGGTGTAACTTGTTAAAATAAAAATGTATTTTTTAAACATTTTTTAATTGATATACGATTATGTATGTTAATTTGATAACGGTTTAAAATGAAACATTTAAAAGTAAATGACGTAAAGTAAATTAATTAACTAATTATAGGGGTATAAAGTGTAAATTTAAGAGAGTGAAAAAGTGAAAAAGTGAGGTAGTATAGATAAGAGTATCTTGGTGATTTAGTATTTTAAGACTTTAAGACTTTTGCTAAATTTATTTTATAAGATAGTATAGATGTATATATAATATAGAGAGAGAGAGAGGGGGGGGGGGGGAGATTCAAAATGAGAACAATAACTAAATAAGATAATATGTGATTTTATACGTGATTTTAGTGTAAAATCACATGCGATTCGATCGTTTTATTGATCTTTTATTTAGTTAATATTCTCATATGAACCTGACACACACACACACTCTCTTTTCTCTTTATATATATATATATATATATATATATATATATATATATAATGCATCTCAATAAATAAAATCGATTTTCAAAAATTGTATTCGATCAAAAAAATACCATATATGCACACTACAAACAGAGGAAAATTTTAGACACAAATTTCTACCAAAAATCCGTCGAATTTGTTCTACAATATGTTGTTGTATCATTTGTCATATTTATTCTGCAATATGTTGTTGTATCATTTGTCTTATTTATTCTACAATATGTTGTTGTAATCGCTGATCACACCTCTGCTCAAACGTCCGCTGCTGCTCTGCAAGTTAGTCGTCTCTCTGTTTATTCTCCTCCTTTAGTAGTCATGTCATACCTTCATTTATTCTAACATAACAATTAGTATCAAATAAAAGTAATGGTAGTTTGTAAAAGAATAAATGTATCAAAAAAAAAAATATATATATATATATATATATATATATATATATATATATATATATATATATATATACCTCATTACAAGTCTCCCTGCTCAGTGGACTATATGGTACTGAAGTTGGAACTGGGGGTATCGGTCATCACATGTTGTGGATCGTGTGGTGCATCGAACCCGAAGATCCTCCCCTTCCTCACTCCTCCCATAGTCTTCGTCCACATATCAACGTCCCCTAACTGTAGCTGAGATGCCATGTCTTCTCCATACTTTTGGATGACGAACTATTGATATCAGGACTATAATTGCAAAACATGATAAGAACAAAAATTAACAGCACAACGACTGTAAATTGAACCTATCCACAATAAATCAAGTCTAACGTTTATCCAACAATTAGTAAACCCAAACTATCTTAAAAACTTTATAACCACTTTATGACCCATTAAGGTCCATTATGACTTAATTATGCCTAATATGACCCATTAAGGTTCATTAAGACCCATAAAATACATTATGAATCAGTAATCCTAATATGACTCATTGATAGGTGTCAATTTATTAACTCTATTACATCTATTTTCTCACTCTTTTATGTTATTTTATTTGCCCAACATGGCCATTTGAGTATCTTTTATATTAGTTTTATAGGATTTAATGTTTTTGTGAAGTATTAGGAAAATAGTACGAACTGGATCTAAATTTTGCTTTGAAATTAACTTTTGCAGATCTGGAAAATACTAATGCTTCCTCAATGAATCATTGGCTGCTGATTTCAAAGCGGTAGTAATACTATAGGACTTAATAGTGGGCTTATGAAGATCTTTTAAGTCGATTCTAGGCCGAATTCTTTTGCAGCTGGGTTTTACCATTTTGGGCCTATCTAAAACTTATATAATACAGTGCTTATGCCATCTTGTACTTTTGTCACTTAGAACCTAAGGTGAATTTTCAGTATAAATATGTATGCTTTCTTTGTTTAAAAACACATATAACCGTTTGGTTATCACTCTAATTTCTCTCTAGATTTTATTTCCTAAGTACTTTGTGATCTAAGTTCGGTTTGCAAGTTATTAATCAAGTATTGTTCATTTGAAGAATCGTTTTCTACTTCATCTTAATTTCTTTCCAAGTTCACTTCAATTTTTTGCTAATCGTTTGGAGCTAATCTATCCTCGTTGCAATACATAAGATTTATAATATTTTATGACTCGAGATTAATTTGTAGTTAAGAAAAACCGTTTTCTAAGTGCTTACCACTAGTTGACATTGAGTGTCAAGTATCGGTTGGCTTGAATCACCCCCGACCTCAACCCCGGGCATGTTTTTTAGGTGTGCCGCCTTAAAGTAGAATTTCCTTCCGCCCTAAGGAGAGTTTGGTACATTTTTCATTGTCTTCCTATTCTCATTCGTGAGGATCACCAAGTTATATGAATTCCAAATTTCGGACTTTCGTCTGTGCTCAACGAGAACTTGGGCAACTTGTTCGTTTGATGTATCATGTTGTTCACCAGCCATTTTGTAAGACAGAGAGAAAGAAATGAGAATTGTGAAGTGGAAGCGAGAAACGAGTACGCACCAAAGTCACAAAATATAGCGAGAAACCCAGAATTGTGAACGTTTTTTTTTTTGTGTTTTTTGCGTTTAGTAAGTTGGTATGTAAATCCATAGTCCATGACACTTAAATATAGGGTTTAGAAGGCCAAAAGACCAAAAAAGGGTCAAATATATGAAAAAACGGTCATAAACGGCTATATTAAAAAAAAGGCGGCTATATTTTCAAAAACCGGGTCGGACCCATAACCGGTCGCGGTTCAACGGTCCCTCAAATTGCTCCAAACTGCAACCAGTCCCAGTTGGCGGTCCTATAACCGGTCCTTACGGGTTCTGATCCTCCGGTTTGGCCATCACTAGTAGTGGTACACGGTGGTTCAAATGGTGATAGTCAATGGTGGTTCAGATCGGCGGTGGCACAGACCGATGGTGCTTCAGATCGATAGTGGTCGGCAGTGGTTCAAATCGGCGGTGCTTCAGATAGATGGTGGTCGGCAGTGGTTCAGATTGACGGTGGCCGGTAGTGGTTCAGATCGGTGGTAGTAAACAGTAGTGTAGATTAGTGGTGGTCGGTGGTGGTTTAGATGATGATGGTCGCCAGTGATTCAAATCAACGGTGGTCGAAGGTGGTCAACGACGGTCATATTGGGTTTTATGAGATTAAGGTATATCGGGTTAAGGGCATATTTGATATTATGAAAATAGAGAACTTCGTTCCATCAAAACACCATATAATTGCTAAGAAATCTTAAATTCCTTTATACGTGGAATTTATAAGATTTTAAATATTCATTTCATAAAGAAGAATGAACCAAACGAGGAAATAGAAATTAATGAATGAAATTCAACAATCTTGGCGTAAATGGTTTTAAATATGCCCACCCATGAATTACGCTTTAAAAGGGAATAGATTTGGTGCATCTCGATGCACCTTATCAACGTTAACATTCAATTAGGATTGATCCCATGGTGAAGATCTCTTCTTACGCTTCTCATCGTAACTTCCCTCTTGGCGTAAATGGTTGTCCATCCTTACCGCATCAATCCCACTGTCATCATAGGGGAGGTAAAACAGGGCATGCATCCTACTGACGGAGGAGCGGTGTGGTGCCCAGGCTCGAACTCAACTCGGTATCTTACTCATATGGATTAGACCCACACTTTTACCAGCATGGATCTCACTCATACGAATTCGTCAAAAAATATCGTAATTCGACACCACTTGTAGACATATATTCGGATAGGTGCAACAATGAAGCATATTCTTGACATTTGATCATACTGTAAGCATAGAAACTCATGTATTCCCTTTTGTTATAAATGGGGGTAAAGTTGCCACTAAAAGACACTTGGTGAAGCCAAAAAGACAACAAAACTAATAACTATTCAAATAATACAAATAAAGACATCACCAAATCATCTTCAGAAATGCTTCACTACTTGCTACCAACACCTTAATCCATTCTCCCTTTCAAAATTCTTTCAGTCACTTCACTTGGTGTTCTGCACCAAAACCATACCACATCCTCTTGGATTATAGTTATAGAAATCCTACATACACATACACATACCTGGTAACCATTCATCCCAGACGGTATAAACATGTGCATACAAGTAATTGAAGTTGTTTCATGGTTTCTATACACGTGTACATACCGGCAAATTGCTTACAAGTTACTTATATACACATGTTCATACTGTCCAGATGAACAGTCATCAGGGTCTTCCTCAGTTTTCATTTTTTTCAGTTTTCCCGTGAACCTGACCCTATATATATATATATATATATATATATATATATATATATATATAGAGAGAGAGAGAGAGAGGGGGGGGGGAGAGAGAGGAAAGATCATGCGAGAAGTTAAACATTTTGCAAGAAAATGAGAAATTTCAATATCATATACGGTACCATTTTAGGAAAATGCAAGAACACTTGAAACAGGCAATCCTCAGATGTGATACTTAATGGGGACGGAAGAGTGTGTGTGTGTGTGTGTGTGTGTGGGTACCTAAGCACCATGTATGGAATTGCAATCAGATTATAAATATTCATCCAAGAAACTTACACAATGTAGACATGGCCTCCCCAACCACTCAAACAATCACGATCAACCGATGATAAAAGCGCTTGGGAGATGGTCTCAAACAGCTCCTCATGTTCCTGCATGCATACATGGTAACACTAGAGATTACTCACTTGTTCCAAAATGAATGTCCACCATAAAAAACAAAAAGTTCAAGAAATATGTAATTATTACACTTTATGTTTAACCGAATGATAATTTGGCCCTTAATGAAAGAGGCAAACTCTCTCTCCATATAATAGGACCACGGTTGCACCGCTATAGCGGCACAATTAACAGCATAAACTAACAGCCTCTAGTCTCTACCCCATGAAATGGAGGAAGGTCTGCATGCATGATGCATCCACCCCCCGGGGTGGCAGGGCGGGACCCTACTTCTGCAGGATTTACTGGGTTTGGTTTATTAAACGTGAACGCTTATATGAAATAAAAAGAAAACTCAAATTTAAATTTTAAATTTTGAAACTATAGATGACTAGAAGCAACCACCCAGTCACCCAGACAAAGTATGAAAAGTTGTTGGATGCGAACGAATGATAGATTAGACAGCAATGTTAATACATGGGCCATGGAAAGCTTTCAAATGTTTATGGATTCTACTTTTTTGATTGATTTGAGTCATTTGACCATCCAAAATTCAAGGTTCACATGGATTCTGGTAAGGGAAATGGTCCAGAATCGATAGAAAGGCTGTAAATAACAAATTAATGGAGATATGGCTGATGGCAACTCTCATCATAGGGGAGAAGAAAGAATATGACTATCAACATCAATTTTGGGTGACATAGTTTAGCGCTAGGGTCACAAAGCACTCAGATTTTGTATCAACTCAAACATAGGATCAGTTTTTTTCAAACATATTTTTTTTAAATAACAGATTTTGTATATTTGGAATTATTGTATCAACTCAAACATAGTATCAGTTTTTTTCTTCCCTGAATCTGGTTTAAGTTACAGGGTCACACTATTAAGATGCATTATTGAATTTTCCCAAAACTAAATAGATATGTCGTTAATCACACAAGACCTAATGCAAAAGTTATTAACAACATCAAGATAAATGAGTAACTAGACAATTGGAATATAGAAACGTACCATATCAGGCTTGAACATTGACTCACAAGCACCATAAAGAGACTCCGAGGCAGTACCAGCAACAACAAAATCTTTAGCAAGCTCTCTACAATTGATTTCAAAACGGAAAGAAACCGAATTAATGCAGCTTCCTATGCTTCTTGATTTTATCAAAAACACATTACCAGATTTCAGACATTTACTTGAGCCATAATCAACTCCAATAAGCAGTTTGGACATGGTTGATCATGGAGTAATTTCCACAATTGTGATCAATCTGAAGGAGCGTGTTAATGAAGAATTATTTGTACAGATCCTTCAACCCAGAATCTGGAAGATAGATTGGTGTGTATCCAATTTATATATATATATTTTTTTTAATTTGAAGAGCCTGCATGTTATTTAAGTATGCTATCAACAAAGCATATAAAAAGGACCTACTTTGCTCCAATTGAGTCCATTGTGCAAATGAATGGCTTGTCGTCATCTCCCAAGCCAGCAATCACAGGTTGGCAGAAATAAGGACCAAACCTACAAATAATATTAGTAAATTCTATTAAATCTAACATTTATATAATTTGTGAAGCTAAAGGTTGTCAAATGATGGGCAAAAGAAATGGGACTATAGAAACGAAAAAAATAAGAACTCAATATGGGAGAGAAAACAAATTCTAACATACAAAAAGCACAATCTTTCAAGAAGTATACAATTATACTAGTGCCATAGATGATCTCCAAAGAAATTTTGTGGGAAGTAAGAGAGAAAAAATATTTGTTAAGCAGATAGCAATAAGCAACCTTCCAAACCATTAGCTATTCTAAAGAGATATGATGGGAAACTGTTACTCATGTATATGTAATTTCTTACCGCTTTACAAGAGATAGGGAGCTAATTAATCAGCCATTTGGCTGTACATATGCTCGTCCTTAACATGGATCTTGAATTGCAATGTAGTTACAGAATATTCAAAAAAATTATTAAAGCTCACACATAGCACAACAAAGATATGCATGTACAATACTACACAATTAGTATTTTCCATATTTCACTTGAGACTATGATAAAAACAAACCAAACAAACACTGTGAATCTTTGGAAGAACAAAGCCCTACACAATCAGAAATTACCAATTTGCTACCTACAATTTGTGTATCAATGTCATCCCTATTTTTAAGTAGCAATCGTCTTCGGTGTTAGGGAACTATGCCTAAAAGAAATGTTGCTTGACGCAATTAACATGTATTACTCTATAACCACATCATTGTTGGTTTTATGAAAATATTTTTCTTTAATTCCTATTTCTGCAGTCAAGGAAAACTTGCCTACTGGACTCGATAAAGAAAAGTCATTTTCACTAGTAAATGGTTAGCAACTGTTGGCCAATCAAAATAGTAAAAACTTTCAGCTTCAAAGTCTAAGCATGACCCTTGATCTCAATTTATTCTTAGTATTAGGAGTAACATTTGAAGCAGATAAATCTTCCCTTCTCCACAAAAGATGAGTAATCTTATTTTCAAGGTACATTATTATTCAAGTTCAAAATTGACAAGCAATGTGATTACAAACTCCGCCACTCCTCTATTTTTAGTGTTCGATGTGAAGTTAAACATACTTCCTTGATCATAAAGTTTATCATTTGTTCGTTTACAGAAAAAGCAGTTTTTGTTAACCTTTTATAAGTAGATACTTTTTTAACACAATTTGAATAAAAAGATTAAAAAATAACTTCAATTAGCTTGAATGGGAGGCTCCTAAATATTTTTTTTTCCAAGATTGTTGCAATTTTCATGGACAGGCTAGTTATTAATTCTTATGAAAACTCAACAAAATTGGTTTCAATTTGGAACAAGTGGATAGAAATCCAAAACATAGGGTTGCAATTCTAAACAAGATACATAAATAAGCTTTTCTAACCTTTTCTCATACAAAATAGCAGAGACAAGACTAGCAAAAGTTTCAGGCTTCATAACTCTTTCCTCCCGAAGTTGATACAGTTTGTGGCGAGACATAAGTCGCTGATAACTGCAAAAACAGAAAATAAAAATAAAAGAACATGCCAATTACACACCAAAATGAGACAAATATAGATATGATTAAGATACTGTAAGGAATGATGTAGCCAAGGGTTAGAGTTGTAATAAAGTCAACTATTGGGGGTATGTTTGTAAAAGGATGGTTCACCCGCTGTCAGATTGTTAGTAGCATGAATGCATGATGGTCGTTAGGGGGTGAGACAGGCATCAGTGTATATTGCAGCTAGATGTAAGGAGACATGGGAATTGGGACCAAAAAATCTTCCTTCTAGCATCTCTCTCTCTATTATTTCTCTCACTATTCTAGTCTCTCTAATTATTTCTTTCTTTAGTACTTATATTTTCTAAGAAATAGGTTACGGCCAGGTATGTTACAACTGGCATCCCAAGGAAGATGATGAACAATAATACACAGAAGACTTGTATGCTCGAGATGCAGTTGGCAAAGATGCAAGTCTCCCTGAAGAATCTTCAGAATGGAATTGCTGATTGAGTGAGTAAATCCTGGGTATTGTTGCATAAGAGTTTTGATAAAAGAAAATTTGCACAGACATCAAAAAACATGGAGGCTTTGTTATCATTGCAAATCATTAAAAGGATGAATAACAACCTATGCACCAAATGTTTGAAAGCTACCTATGAAGAACCAACCCGATTTACAACAATGGCATCAAATAACCAAAGGATATTACCAAGCAAAATGATCCCATTCTAAGCCGCAAGACCCATCAAAACCTTTCTATGAAAGATAGAAGTCAAGGTTGATCGAGTTTTAAAAAAATGGACACTCTAATGACAGCAAGAGAGTCCAACAAAGATGCAGGTCAACCCCTCTGTGGATAGCTTCAATGAAGGAACTACAAAGTATCGGGTACTAACACCAAAGGAGTATGTGGTGGAAGCTGAAATGGACAGAGTGGTTGAAGACTTAAACGACTTCATGACAGGCAATTTCTCTCCCAAAAAATTTCTTTCTAGAAATTCTCTGTCTCTTTAATGGCAAAAGTGGGAGAATGGTTGGTCGATGGCCATTGGAAACTGCCATCACCACTGCTGCCACCGTTGTACTATGTTGCCGCCACTGTTACCACCACCAACAGTCGTATATCAATTCCAATTTGATTTTTTCCCACTTTGAGGACAAGGTGGTTCTTTGGGGGGTGAGGTAATGTTAGGCACCAATTCCAAGCCCCAAACCCATTAGGGCCGTTAAAAAATAGGGGAAAGAGGGGAGAATAGGGTAGGCAGATATTAGTGATACTTTCACATTTGGGAGAGAACCAGGCTCTCAAAATCCAGGATATGTCTCTGTAATTGTCACTTTCAATCGCAATTCAATACAAATCCTTTGGTTCTTATCACATTGATGGTCATGCAGTTGCCATCATCTATCAAAATTATGGTGGAATATACGTTTAAGAACACCAAATTTAAAAAGATCGTCTCTTGCTTGGGAACTTCGAGGTGAAAAATGGAGTGAAGTGATACTCAAACATAGCCTAGCTGACCTTTTGCCCCTGCAATTTGTTTACTAGATATTGGGGTGATCTCAGTTGAAGGCTGTCAGTGACTCAGTGTGTATAAGAAAGAAAACACGCTGAAGTGGCCTTTACTTGCTGGTTCTTTATCATTATTAACTGCTACAAACTTCAAAGGACAAAGGACTCATATTAATAAAAAGCATAGTGTTGTAGCAGCCTGGACTGGCATAGGGCAGAATATTGTGTTGCAATCGCATTAGGGGATGGGTATTTTTTCTTTGTTACAGCTATGCAAAATCTGAATATTGTGCAGCACATACATGTAGAGATAACAAGATCATAATACCTCGATTTCAGAAGTGGTTTGGACATAACATAAGCTTGTTACAATAAGGTATCACGTGATACTCTAAATCAATGAGTGACATTAATACTTACAGTGTTTGAGCATCACTGCCGAGACCAGAGAGACCCAGAAATAACTTGTCATGCATCTTGAAAATTCTTTGGAAATCAGTAGCTATGGTCTGAAGCTGGACCCCAAGGCGGCGATCACTAGCGATAGCAAAGCAGTTTTTACCAACCATAGCCACCAGGGCACTTCCATTGTACTCAAAAATCTATAATAATAAAGCATATTAATCTGTAAGTTACCCAAAACAATTAAAGTTTGACACCTAAATAGACCTTTGAAGCTTTATATTTCCTAAAATTTAATCATTTATCTTCTATTATAGTTGCAAATAAGTTTATTAGATTAATTACGTTCCAAAAGATTTATAAATCTTATCTTTCAACCTTTTTCTTGGTGTTGGATAAACTGGAATCAGATAAAAAATAGAATACTTAGAATTTGTGGTGCACTTAAAATTCAAAAACTTCAATGCTTTATTCGATAACAACTCGCCACTATATACCCTTTTACAAGAGTTAACCATTACACAACAAGACCTATTCTATAGTTATATTGTCATCAGAAAGAACAAGTCTTGTGCAATACACAACACTCGGTAAGCATACGACCACTTCTTAACCTAGGATTCATATTTTGTTCTAACAAATATTGCAGTGTCATCTTGCAAACACTTCAGACTTCAGTACGTATATCAAGCACCATATGAGTCGATTAAATTTTTTAATCTATCAACCTTGCATGTTCTTTGCACTGCAATCATTATACTTGCAAAATTGAAAGATTTCGACCATACTGACAGAAACAACTTTAACCTATTAAAACTTGACACCATTAAATCCCTCCATACTAACAGAAACAATGAACGATCAATTCAGGTTGCTATTTGCCAGCTTCCATATGAGTCTATTAGAATTTTGATCTATCAACCTTACTACAAAGAAATACAAAACGATCGCTTACCGACATCGAAGACGAATGAAGATTGCACGAGAGAGGGGAGATGATTTGGGGTTCTGATTTGGGAGTTGCAGAGGGCTTTGTTAATTCGATGACTTGGAAGACATGTTATTTATTTTTATACAAGTGGTCCTTCAATTCAAGAACAATGTAAAAAAGGCCCTTTGAGTTTGAGTAATTACTTATTTTTCACATAAATATAGCCATTTAACATGATAAGTACGATAAAGGTCAAATCACATATGATCAGGAGCATAGACAATAGGGGGCAGGATGGTGCCATGCCCCCTCAACTTTACACCAAACCGATATCATCTATATAAAAATAATCTTATTGGTCCGTCAAACTCTTCAACTTATTGATTTATTCCGGTGTGGCACCGGTAATAAGCATTTTTTAGTATTTGGATAAACAGCTTATACCGGTGTCAAACCGGTAATAAAGTGTTTTTGAAGAAGTTAAACCCTTCTGACTTATGATAAGTTGATAAGTGCTTTTGTAGAAAAGCATAAGTTGTTTCAAATAAGCAATCTCAAACACCCTCTAAGTTTCTTAACATCTTTTTAACATTTTGCCTAAATCCCGAGGCACTAAAACAAATCGGCTTTATGAAATGGCTAAATGTCTTAATAGACTACTTTATATTACTTAAGTATACATGACCAAATACTTATGTGTTATATTTAAAGATGTTGCAATAAGTTTATATGACATTTTTTATGACACTTTTGAAATAAAGTATCTTATTAGCTATTTTTTTATAGAACACTACTTGATTTTGTTAGAGTGTGGTGAGTTAGTAAATTTGTATTTGGTTTTTTAGGCAAATGATAGAAGTCTAAAAAATCTAATTATTTAAACCATGGTTAAGTAATTTAGTTGAATAATTTAATATTTAACTGAAATTATGTAAAATTTAATCATAAATAATGTAAATTTGTAATTTGTTTGGATTTTAATAGCAATTATCTACGGATAAACATTTAACAAAAAAAAAAAAACACATATCTATATGTAGGATATTGTCAACTTCGAAACTGTGGATTTTCTTATACTGTCTTTAACTCCCTTTATACTGATTTTCTAGCTCTGTCCCGGCATATGATTTACGACATGTCTAGAAAAGAATAGCGGAGAACTGTTTGATTCCTTCATGCATGCTCCACTTGGCTCTGGCTCGGGACGTGAGACAACTCTCTTTAAAAAACTTGACAAAATAGACATGTAACTTCAGGAGAAGGGGCATAAGCGAATCACATAGATAAAGCCCTATATGCCACTGCAAGGATAGATAGGGCGGGAGAAAGGAATGAAAATCTCCCGCTCGGTCTATGATGATTATGTCAACTAACCATTGCACGGGAAAGTTTCATCTGATTCTTTCTGGATGTGTTGTAAATCACATGTGATTTGGCCGTTATTGCATTTCTCATAAATTAACAGCCTTCTCACTTAGTCCTTATATATATACATATGTGGAGGTTCAAATGAGAACGGTAACTAAACAAAAGAACAAAAAAGGGTAAAATCACGTGCCAAAACTACGTGTGATTTTACAATGATGATCGATGCAAAGGTCCGTGGGCGACGTGGCCTGCAATTTTAGTGATTTTACACGTGCGGTCAAAGTTGTGTGAGTCACATGTGATTTTACACGTGATTTTGTATAAAATCACATGCGATTCAACCTTTTTTATTATCTTATTTGCTTATTGTTCTCGTATGAACCCGACTATCTAATAGGCGAATGATCGTGTGGTAACTCACATATGCAAATCAATTTTTAAAAATACATATGGTTTAGGTTTCTTCAGTTTCTATATATAAATGTTATGTTATTCATTTGTAGCGTTTGCATCATTTCATAAATTTTTGGAAAAATCCAATCTGATCACTTCGGCATGCAAATCAATCTCCGAAAATCATAGAGGACCATATCTCATTGAACTGTTTGTCTGTTCACTAAGGGGCTGTTTGTTTTTAATAAAAAAGCTCTTAATGTCCTCTTAAGTCTGAATCAGTCAGACATAAGAGGATTCAGTGTGTTTGTTTTTTTTTCAATTAAGAGCTTAAAAGCTCTTATTAGGTCTGAAAATTTAAGTGGTTGTGAAACCTCTTATTACCTCTTATTTCAAATTGTCGCTTACCTACTCTGATCTCTTTGAGCTCGATTTCTCTAGATCAACTCTTCTGTCTCGATCTCTCATCTCTCAACTTTGTCAACTGTCGATCCATATCAACTCTCGATCTCTCATCTTCAAACTTCAGATTTCAGACGCAAAAAACAAACAGTCTAACTGATTCAGATTTCAGACTTCAGCACCACCTCTTAAAAATCAGAAGTGAATTCAGACTTCAGACTTCAGCACCTCTTAAAAAACAAACGTCACCTGAATTTATAGCTTATGCAAAATCACATTGCATGATGCATTGAATCATGTAAAGACGCTCTTAAAGTTGAAAAATTACATTATATGAAACATCATATAATGTACAACCTTGTAGATGCAAGTATTAACTAATCATTGGTTCAATAAACACATAATATTTTAATACAGTTTTCACTTTCCAGATGGACTGACACTTAATTATGACCACCCCAGTTGTATCATACTATATTTTCATATTTCCATATAGAGTGGAACTTAATTTAAGCATACAAGGGTGGTGCCTGATTGGTTTGAGCTTAGCTCCAAATGTCAAAAATACCAGGAGATCACAATTTCAAATCCAAGAAGGAATAAAAATCCCCTTGTGGCCACAGACCTTATCGAAAAATTGAACAAACCACAAGGACCAATACTGTAACTCAACATTGAACGATACTATTGGTGTTGTCAACTCATACTTAAAAGTTACCGAAAATCTTATACGTAATTGAATCTTTCCGATTGAAATGACAAAATACAATATTTAAGTTTAATAGAAACAGAGTTTACGTAGAAAAAAGCTCTATGCATAAATTCTGACCATCTACAGAAATGAGTTTGAGAAGTGAACAAAAAGCGAAATTGTATGATGGGTTGGTTATTTTCGTCAATTTTGATACTCCTAATAAAATACTTTATAGGACTTAGGTTTGTAGGACCATTGCGTCATATCTAAAAGTGTTACAATATGTTTATAGAACGTTTTTAGTCGTTTTAACAAGTTTCGTTGAACGTTTTTAAATAAAGTGACGTATTAACTATTTTATACGACAATATTTAAAAAAAAGTCTTAATGCACACAAGTGTCTTATAAAAAGAAGGGTTTAATGGACATTTCTCAAAAATGTCCTACAAAAGTAGCGAATATGATTTTTTTTATTTTAAAAACGCTCTAAAAAGTTTGTTACAACTACTAAAAGCATCATATAAACCTATTGTAACGTTCTTAGATTAAGACGTTTTATAGTTCGGTCTATAAACTGATGTTCTATAAAGTATTGGCATTTGATCGTGTTCAAATCGAACACCATATATACCTTTTGCAATGAGTTCATGTTCATCGATTTTTGATCTTCATTAGATGAATAACTAACTGTCTTCGTTTATCGTCAAATAATAAATGATAGAAACACGTATGACAACAATAAACCACGAGTTGCATTTATATGAACTCTTCAAAGTTGGAAATTTATCTGATATTGCCACCGGCAAAACCTCCGAGATTTAGCCAAACAGAGCTTGATTATTTTCTCGACGTTGAGGTGGAAGCATTTACGCATTCGCTCATCTTGTATAACAAGAACCTAACTCCGTCCATAATTCAAACAATTACTTGCCATAAGTCGTTCTCATCTTCGCTACAACGCTTATGGACATCTCGAATCCTCTCTTGCGAGTTGCATATGCCACTACATGCCCAATCGAGCGTTGCAACACACGTATGCCCTATCAAATTCTTCCACTCACATACTGTCGAAAAATAAAAGAAAAAAAGTAAAGATTTTAGTGTTTTCTGAAGAAAAAAAATCCATGCCCTAAAATTTTACATCAAAAACAGTGTTTAACACCAGAAACAGAAACAGGTCATTTAAAGGTTATTGATCAAAAAAAAGATCATACTTCTACTTTTATAGGACCAAACCAAAAGTATCATATCTAAAACTGTTACAATAGGTTTATAAGATGCTTTTAGACATTTTAACAAGTTTTTTAGGACGCTTTTAAAATATAGTGTCATATTAACTATTTTATACAACATTATTTGAAAAATTGTCTTGTAAACCCAAATGTCCTATAAAAAATAGTTTATAGAACAATTATCAAAAAAGTTTCCTGTAAAATAGCTAATATGACACTTTATTTAAGAAAACGTCTTAAAAAACTTGTTAAAACGCCTGAAAACGTCCTATAAACCTATTGTAACGCTTTTAGATATGACGTTTTATAGTTAGGTCTTATAAACATAAGTTCTATAAAGTATTTTATTAAGACGTTTAGACAATCTAAGCGGCATGAACGAATTTGTATCCCAAGTTCAAAATCTCACCCGGAGTGCCACAACATAAGCTCCTGTCGTTAACGTGTTCAACGTCTAAACCGATCATCCAAGTTCCTAACGAAACGTCTTCATTCGCGTACTTGTGCAAAATATCCCTGATGCATCAAAAAACCATACTCATCCCTGAAACATTATTTTAAAATCTATGTACAATCTTGGAACATTGAGGAGCCAACTTACTGGTTTTTTGATATATATGTAGCCAATTCTTTCGAGATCGCGTATATTTGTCCCCCCGCATGGCGGAAATAGTTGTTTCCCACGTCACCGAATTTCCAAAACTCCGGTTCTCGATATTTTACTCCCCTGATTTTGAACACAACCGGTTTTTAGAAAGGAAATAAAGAGAATGGGTCGTGCCCGTGCACCCTATATTATTTGGACGTTCTTGATAAAACTTTACTTTTCGGTAAGCACGCGACCAGACTTCATGCAGCCGATATACACACGGGGCTTGTTAACATGAGTTAGTAGCGTTCTCGTCAATGCTCCTGAAAAAGATTAGTAGTTATAGAGGCCGCATAATTCACAAAAAATCAAGCGTGAAAAACTTGTCCCGACTCGACTAGTTGCCCGTGTTGACCATATACCTAGTAAGATTTTATATATGAGCAAACCCCGAAAACCCGATTAGAAAACATCTTTAACCGTGACTCATAACGGCTTGAGTTTTCAACTCGGTGACCCATCGGCCGTTTACATAAAAATTCTAAATTTCTATTTTAGTTTGTATTAAAATAAGTGTCCACTTTTAAAAGTAACAGTTTATGTTTCGATTTAGGGCAAATTGCATGAAAAAGTAACGTACTTTAATTTGATTCCTATTTTGGGTTACGTACTTTCAAAACTTCCATTTTGGTACCTAAGATGTAAAACTTTAAACATTTAAAGTACCCACGTAATCGGTTGAAGCATTAACCGGTTATCATGTTGATTTGGCAATGTGGTATTCAACTCAGTATTATTTGCTGACATGAACTTTTTTAATCTAAAATTAGTCTTCGACCCATTACCCGGGTGTTATAAATGTTTAAAACTTTACATTTTAGGTACCAAATGCAAATTTTGAAAGTATGTTACATAAAATACGAATCAAGTTAAAATACGTTATTTTTTCATGCAATTTGCCATTCAATTTAACCCTTTATTATGAGATGAATAAATTCATTACTCCCTCTATTATTATGAATGATAAAATCGTCATTTAGTTAATTAAAAACTTTAATGGTTACACATTCTAAAACTGTGTGTTTTTTCCATTGTGTACATTTATATTTAAGACGGACAAATTAATCACGTTCAAGCGGAAATAAGCTCCTAGCATGAACTAATTATTATCAACAAAATGTTGCGAAAACATACCTATATTTACATGAACATCATCGTCGACTTTGACATAGAAATCCGCATCCCACGTTTCAACCGCAGTCGCAAAGTATATTTTTGTCTTAGCCGATAAAGCCAAGTATGCTTCGATATGATCCTGGTCAGAGTACAAACGAAGCTCAACTCAACGGACGTATAACGGAATTATATTCTTCGTTAGATACAACTTTGACATTTTGAAAGATCATAGAAGACATTACCAGCCTCATAAAATCTCCATAACGTTTTTCCTCTTCTTCAATCGAATTATCAAGAATACCGCCTCGTCTTGCACTACAAAAAGATATTAAACACGTATTAAAACGTTAATTACCAAAAAAAACCGAAACAATTTAAAAGTGTACGACTAACCCTGAGGTGTAGCTCAACCGTCCTTAGTGGTTACTGTGGTTACGGGTTCGAGTCTCCGAGGGCCACTTAGACATGCTCAAGGCGACGGATTTTTCGAGCCTTGGCTTGAACTTTTCCAAAAGCTTGTTTTTTAGTAAGCAAAAAGAAGCCAGACCTTTTCTAGCCTGGTACGGTTGGGCTTTGGGGTTGAAAGAGGGCCCAATTAGGGTTTTCCAAGTCGGGTTTTATCTGAGCCTTGAAAAAAGGTTGGCCTAATTTGGCTTAAAGGTTGGGCCTGGAACTGGGATTGGGACTGGGACTGGGACTGGGCTTGGGCTTGGGCTCGGGCTTCTTCGGACTTCTTCGGACAGGGCTTTGGGCTTGGAAATTTGTGTACATCTAGGAGCCCGTCTCCAGGACACCATGTGAGAGGACATCTTTTTGACTCACTCAGTGGCTGAGATTAGTGAGGGCCCAGGATCGAACCTAAACCTGCTTTATATTTGTGAAAAATCGCCCCACATCTTTTTCGGACAGAGCTACACGCCGAAGGCAGTTCCCATAGGATTAGTCGAGGTGCAAGGTGCTTGCAAGCGGGACAAGACACCCACGGTTACCCAAAGGTAAAAAGTTACCATCATACCATAACTTCAACCAAGTTGATTGCTACGCACCTGTGGCCTATGATGAAGCGTATAACGATTCCTATTTCTTTCTCGAGTCTTGTTCTTTTTCCCCCTAATCGTAAAGTGTTTACGAAGTCCGATCATCAAGAATCTTGAAATATGATCAAACGAAAGTGAAAATACACGAGAGGAATTGCGTATTTATACCTTGAGGCATCCATGTAGCCCGAACGGATTCTCTTCTTTTTCGACTACTAAAAGCTGTATTGATTCCTATTACCATAAAGTACTTCCTTTTGGTACTTACGTTTCTGGTTTCTGACAAAGAATCATCGAGCGCAGACTGGTTTTTCGTCGTTAACGAGTCTACTTTTGTTTCAAGATTCAAGATCTTCTTGTCCAAATTTCTATATCATGAAAAACCTCGAAATTTTTGTTGATTTAACGTTAAAAACCAATAAGAAAAATGTCGAATTGACTTAAAGATCGAACACCAAAAGAACTCACTTGATAGAATGATAAATCTCATAAACTTCCCCCGTAGTATTGGATCGAATGCTGGCAATGTCCTGAAAAAGATTAAAGGGAAAAATTAGGGGGCGTTTGGCAGTTGTTGAATGGTTTGGTGCAGAATGATTAAATGATCAAAATGATTAAGAGACTCTTATGATATAGTGTACAATGAAATATAATTGTTTGGTAATTGTTTAGAATGAAATTAGAGCGCAGAATGGTTAAGAAGACACAAGATACAAAATCATTCACAGAGTTTTTGAACCATTAAGAGACGGATTTTTTTTGTCTAACAAGATTCACCTCTTAACGATTCAGATGTTACTTCTTAATGGAACTATTAAGAGGTAAACAAAATAAAAAGTGTAAAATCTAAATTTGAAAGTGTAAAAACAGAAAAATTAACAAAATTAAATTTTTTAAAAATATGAAAAAAATTGAAAAAAGTCACGTCGTGGCACGAGCCAGGCCTTACACAAACGCTACAGATCTTATAGTAATGGCGGGAACAGGTATTACGTTGCATAACGTACGTCTTTCTGAACACCGATTGTTTGGTATGTAAAGTTAAATCGGATCATTCAAAAGTCAATAATTCTACGTCTTATTGATGTTTTTTTACCCTTTTTTAGAATCATACGCATTGGATTATCAGATTTAGCTTATCATCACTTCTTCTAATTTCGATAATACAATCAAATACGTAATGTTGGAAATATACAAGTTTCATAGAAAATGCTCACGTAGTTAGGTTTGTAGCCTTGCTCGACCAAATTCCCGTCCCAATTCTTCCGTGCGAACCTTCCTTCCGACACTATCTTCATCCTACGAAAAAACTCAAGTACGAAACTCATAGCAAACCACAAATGTGTATACCCGAAAGGCCTAATTCCGTTTCAAATCTACTATTTTATGAACGAAACCAAATCAAACGAATGTACTGAATCCCATCCAAACGTAGGGTCAGGTATAAGATGTTCGCAAACCTTATCTATTGTCATTATACGGCAAGATTTCTATGTTGATGACCAAAACCCTAGAGTCACTTATCACTACAGCAAAATCGGGTTTACAGGACACTCTCAAATTCTAAGCGTTTTAATAGACCTCTTTATAGGACTTAGTTTATAGAACCAAAAAAATAAAGTGTCATATCTAAAGACATTATAATAAGTTTATATGACGTTTTTGACGTCGTAATAAGCTTTTTTTATGACATTTTTAATATAAAGCGTCCCATTAGCAACTTTATATGAACTATTTGAAAAACTGTCATATAAAAACAAGTGTCCAATAAAAAAATTGAGTTTATAGGACACTTTCTCAAAACTGTCGTATAAAGTTGCTAATGCGACACTTTGTATTAAAAATGTTCTAAAAAACTTGTTAAGACGCCCAAAAGCGTCATATAAACTTATTACAACACGACACTTTATATTGTGGTCTTATAAATTAAGTCTTATAGACCGCTTTATAGATTAGGAACGTCCTATAAACCCAATTTTGTTGTAGTGTATGTCTTGTTGTCTTTATCTGTCTCTTAACGTGTGTGCATTAGTTTTCAGTAAATAGGGTTTTGAGAATCTTGAATTTTTCACTAGTTTATAAAGTAGTAATTCTTCTAATAATGTTGGTTCAAACTCTAGAAAAATGGTTAGGGTTTGATGATCTGAGTAGAAATTACTAAAAGGGTCTGTACTGTAGCAGTCTGTGTAGTCTTAGTCACTACAGACATTGATACCAAACAAGTATCAGTCACTTCATATTCTCAAATGAATTTCATACAGATCATTTACAAATTCAAGATGAACACAGTGTCTGTTCCAATTCAGCCATGTTGTACAAGAAACTGAAGACCAACCAATGATCCTAATAAATGCATGAAACACAGTGTAGATGAATCCATTATTTCTTGTTTAATTAAGCAATGAACTTTATACCCATTTCTCCTAGATGCATAAAACACAGTAACCAATATAAAGAAGCAATTTCTCCAGAATTGCTTAATCAATCAGCCAAAGTCTAGAAAGCAGATTACCTGTTGGTAAACAACATCCCAGCACAGAAGCTGACAATCCAAAGGAACACTATCCATGTTTTGTTTGGAAGATTTCTTGAGGGTTTTTCTCCTACACAAAGTTTATGCTTTGATGACATGATTTTGTACTTCCTTTTCTTCTGTAACTGATCTTACAAACACAAACTGATGAGGGTCAAAGATGGTCAAACTTCTCTCTCCTCCAATATGCATAAATTAAGAGAGAGAGAGAGAGGGGTTGTGTTTGCAGGATGAAGACAACTGGTCTCTTTATTCTCCAAGATGATCATGAAATTAATGGGATTATTATTCAGTAACTTATATTCTTTCTTAATTAAATGCCCATTTATAGTAAGAGTTACGTAAAAGACTACATTTATGGGTAGCACGGAGTCATCGTATTTGAACCTTTATGGCTACAAGGGGATTTTTATACCTCATTGAATTCGAACCTCGGACCTCGAGACACTTTTGATCTTTTGGAGCTCAAACTCAAACCAATTGGACACTACTACCCTTGTGGTTGTTGTGATAATTAAGGCGTGGCAATTAGCTTTTCAATCTTGAAAGCTCGTGAGAACCGAGAAGCTACATATCTTAACATATTGTTTCAGAAGAGTACTATTTCGTTCGTCTAATGCTAAGATTTAAGTTCTTGTTTCACAGTGTGAAACTTATAGACGATGTGTGCATCATTTGTTTCATAATATTTGGTTCTTGTCATGTTAACCGCTTTTTGTAAGACGGTGAAACACGGTGAAGGTTCAGATATACACTATAAAAGTTCGGTGTGTGCTTCCCGTGAAGGTTTGGGTCATGTGATAGTTCAAAGTTTTGTTGTAAAGGTTCAGTGTTTTACTGTGAATGTTTGACAAGATACAGAGCTTATGATGCATCTCACGCACCGCCTTTCAGAGGGCGTTCATCGAGGGACAAAGCTTTTGGTAATCCGTGTGTCTGATAATAAATCGACTGATAATTCATCTTTGACTTTGAACAAATTGTTCATCTTTTCTTCTTTTTTGACACTAAATTTTATAAAAACAACTTATTAACTTATTTCAGTATGACACCGTTAATAAGCATTTTTTAATGTTTGGATAAACAACTTATATCGGTGCCAAACCGGTAATAAGAAGTTTTTGAAAAATTTAAATTCTTCTAACTTATAATAAGTTGATAAAGACTTTTGTAGAAAAGCTTAAGTTGTTTTAAAAAAGCAATCCCAAACACCCCTTAATTAGATAAGAAAATTGTCGTATGAATAGCAAATTACATAGATACCGTTTTTATTAATTTAGAAATAAAATAATTTAACTAAAATAATTAGTTAATAATGGATCTCATGAATAATCTCGTTTATAAATGATTAAACACCTATTTAAAGCTTCCTAAAAAATTCAAAAATAAAGAAATCAATAAAAAAATTTATATATGAATAAAACAAAACTAATTTTGTTTTAAAAAAACTAATCGAAAACACAAAAAAATTGAAAAATATCTGGAGGCCTCCAACGATCGAAGGCCATGTGCAATAGCACCAATTTGCACATCCTAAGAAACTGTTATACCGAGCTTTCATAGAAATAATAGAGGATGAAGACAAATGGAAAAGTCAAGAGAAGTCTTAACGCTCCATCAAAAAGAAGCTTTTAGTATATTGTCAACATAATACATTTTCTCTTAAAAATCAGTAAAAAAGAACGGCTTGGAGTACTGATCATTTGAAAATGTTAATATTAGATCTTAGGCTCAATCATCCAGAGATGGGCAGATCCGGAAATATGACTTGAGTAATGCAAAAAGATTTGAGAGAGTATTTTATAACCACGTAGCGAGACGGGGTTTTGTATGATTTTAACTAAGGTTCAAATGTCGTTCACTTTTGGTGTCACAAAGGGATTTGGGCATCTATTTCCATGCTGGTAGAGCTACGATCCTTAGAGGTCGACTTAGTTAATTCAGTATCCCTTGAGTTGGTAAAAGTGGTGACTTTGTGGAGAAAGGTGGACACTCTTATGTGAGAGTTCACTTTCGAGAGAAAAAGATTCTTAGAGGTTTTTTGTGGTGCTTGTTCCTGACCATGAAGTTACTACAAACGTGTTAGATAATGCTTATGCCCATGCCCTCTTCTTTTAACTGCTTCTCTCGTTTCAATTGTTAAATTAGCATAATATTAGATCTCAACAAATATTAATTATTTTTTCAAAACCCGAAACTTGCACTAAAAGCTCATGAAAATCTCTGAGTCTTAGTTGTCCAGTCACTGTGGAAACTATTTCAGTAATTTACCACTTTATTACACATAGTGATCATAATGTCCGGTGTGCACTTGCACAACCACTGTCGTTAACATAGGTGGCCACTCTGTTGACCTATACGGTTTTCCGCTATCACAAGGGTACCCAATGCCTTAAAACAACTTCATCAATATCCATTGACAACGTCTCTGGCAGCCCAAAAATGAACGCTCTTGATCAACCGATCAACAACCACCCAAACAATGTCGTGGCTCATCAAAGTCGTGAGCTTTAAGTCCGCTTGCCCACCTCTGCTCTAAATCATGTTAATTTCCAACTGCTCAAACAACTTTATTTGGTTTTGTGAATAATGAGAAATTTTAGCCACAAAGGAACGAGAAACGATGACAACAACGGTAATAGTGGTGGCGACGACAAATGGTTGGTCAAGATGGCGTTCCTCAATGGTCACTTAGGACTTCACACGAAAACAGGAGTAACCAGACCTACCTTGCCTTGGGGCATGAGCTTTACCTCCATCATGATGGTCGTGGAATCTGTTTTGAGTCCCGCATCGACCAGATCTGTACCATTTCTCTCTTCGTTTCTTGTGCTCTTATGGATGGTAATCTGGAGGTTCTACTTATTCTCACAAAACCAATACAATCATACCCTTTTTGCAGAATATGGTCCAAGTCAGACTCCATATCCACCATGGAGAAAAGTAAACTCTAAACAAGCCTTACATGTGCCCATCTATTTTTCACATCAAAACTCATTTAAAGGACCAGAAGTGTAAACCCCCCCCCCCCAAAAAAAAAAAAAAAAAAAAAGATCTAGACCTGTACAAGTTCTTCTATATGGTTTGTAATCTTATGTCATCAAACCCTGGTTTCTTCCGTCACTTTCTCCATTCTCACTTTCGAGCCGCATGGTAGAGCTCCAGGTAGTCAAGAGCCGGTCGGTTCCACGACCAATCTTGCTCCATCACCACTTTGCATAACGAATTGAACCAATCTCGACTTTCGTACCATGCAGAAATCGCTCTGTGCATGAAGGCAAAATGATTAACATAAAACCGTTGTACCAAAAACACAAAAACATTATCGTATAAACCAAATGAACCCAGTATAGGGTAGGATGTGAACAAACTTTGCCTCTACCCCAAGGGGTAGAGAGGCTGTTTCCATAAAGACCTTGCACGTAAATATTATATAGCATGTGATGTAAGCAATTTGGCATCGGAATCACTCTGAAGTTGAATTTGGAACAAAAAAATGCCAACTTGGTTGACCGCCATTTATGTGAATAATAGTAAATGTTGAACAGAATCGTGCACTTGCCTGTTGACCGCATAATCAACACCAGCTGCATCGGCTCCCTCAAAATTAAATCCATTTGGTACAAGACCTTGTGATTGTGCTCTTTCTTTATCATGGTCAACATCGAATACAGTATCGTAAAGTCCTGCAAACGATGTTAAGAGGTAAAATTATCAAAATTTATAGACTCTAGAGGCGAAACAAACTACTTTTCAAGGTTATAATCACTACAGACTTTGTAGTAGTATAACGCCCCATAGCCCAACGTAAGTTATTATATGCCCACGACACGTGTCACACACTAATACTGTTAAGGAATATGTAAACCTATAGGGTCGCACACATTGATTTCTAAGTAGACTTTCCTATACCCCAGGGGGTAGAGAGACTGTTTCAATGAAGACCTCCCACTTGTAAAACAAATATTAAAAGAAACAAGAGAGCAATATATATATATATATATATATATATATATATATACATAAAACTAATACCTCCGGTTTTGCGCACGATGGGTATGGAACCGTATCTCATTGCGGTGAGTTGTGTTAGCCCACAAGGCTCGAATATCGAAGGGACTAAGATGAAATCTGCACCAGCGTATATCTACAACGATATAGAAACAGGTCAAAAAGTCAAAGTATATAAAGAAAATGGTCAAACAGAAGTTCGATTAGTATATACCAAGTGAGATAAAGGCTCATCATAGGTCAAACACAGCCGTGCCTGGTCGTTATGTGTTGAATGTAACTGACTTGCCAAATTAACAAAATCATTTTGGATGCGAGGATCAGGAGCCGAGCCTAACAATACAACCTGAAACCACAAATGCATTAAAAGACGGTTAATAACCAAAAAGACAAATGTACTACAGGCCATATGCCGAATTAAGAGTATTTTACAGCTTTTGGCAATTTGACAAATACTTCACCTTCCAAAATAAGTGCCTACTTTTCGATTCTACCCTTAAGAGTAAAATTGTCATTTGTGGTTATTTCGCGACAGAGGGAGTAATTTATAGTGCATTTTCTTTTTTTGGTAAACAGACCCAAAGAAAAAGCTGCTCTATTCTTTAGCCCCGAGGCCCAGTCCACTTAGATCTTACCCCAGACCCCCACCTCCGGGTGGGATTTACCGGTCTCCTTTGGTTTGGTTTTTAAAAACGTGCATTGATGAGTTGTACTTGACAACCAAGGTTCAAAATAACGTGAGGCGTGGCGTGGCGGCGACCTCAAGCCTTAAGCCTTACACGCCATGGTGAGGAAACGATGTTTTTTAAGGCGTGACATAAGGCAAGAAATTTGTATGTTATATATATACATATATGTTTTATATTTATCATTCAATAATATAATGATAAAAATATTACATTAGATTAACTAGTTTTATATAAAAACTTTGTGATCAGATATTCAAAATAGAATTGGAAGAGTTTTACAACTCTGTTTAACCGTGAGTCCATGACATGTGTGAATCCAAGAAACTGTGAGTGATGTGACTAACTAATTTTATAAAAATATAAAATTTGATTAAAGTTAAAAGTGTAAAAGCACAAAAGTTAAAAAAAATTCACTCTTGAAGAAAACGCACGCCATGGCGTGAACAACACCTTACACAAGCGCTATGGGCCTTATCGTAACGGCAGAGACGTGACTTACACCATGGCACGCTTATTTGAATACAGTTGACAACTCATCAAAATGGACTAAACTAGAAAGGTACCTGGCTGCCACGGTGCAAGGCACGCCAAATGGCATGCTTGATGAGATGTATTCCTTTTTGATGAGTCAATCGAGTGATGATTCCAACCAAGGGTAGATCGGCCCTCTTTAGATCGAGTTTTTGTTGCAAGGCTCCCTTGGCAGCCTTTTTGCCTTCCACGACATTTTCCGAAGTGTAAGATACCTAAAATTACAAATCATATGCATATTTTTAGCCGAAACCACAAACAAATAATATAACGGAAATATCTAGACTCAATGTACAAACAATATAACGGAAATATTTGCTGCAAGTGGGATTTGCTTCCTAATTTGGCAAGGATACTAGGTTTCTTCTGTCTACACCATTTTCTTTCTTTTCTACTCTCCCTCTTTTCGGTCCCATTTTCGTTTACCTTCACGTCATGTCATTTGGACCCAAAATATAAATAAATCAAACCAAAATAGGTCAACATATCCCATTTGGAGTTAGCGTCTAAGGGCACAATATAAGTGAATATATAAAATGGCCCAAATCAACATTGAAGGACAAGAAAGGACATGAAACGAGACACACAACTTGACTCTTTTTTTAATTGATCAATTCTCTAGATATTAAACAAGATATGAAAAATATAAGATTTAGATTCTAAGCTACTTACAGGAAGGAACTTATCGTTAAGTGGGTCCCATATATCCGGATCGATGCCATTAAGTATCCCATGAAACTTGTACAAATGCGGAGCAATCACCGGATTTCCAGAAACCTCTGTTGAATAAGTTGGAGATACCTGCAGGAAGAAATTTTGGATGATGGGCAGACCGAGCATGTAGATTACTGAAAATGTTCGACTGATAGTTACAACTTAAAAGATGTTCACCAGTAATAACAATATATGAGAATCTTTGGAACAATAAGCGGTAATGATGATATCGGACAAATAAGTTATTTTAACCTTCAAATTTCCTAAAGAAGAAATATTGCAATTCCCACAAGATATCCCACATCGATCATTCTTTCAAAAATTGAACAAAAAATTGGGAGCAGTAAAAGGTGAGTAATCACGACACAAAATTCTTTCAACTAATTGTTCCACATGAAAAAATGTGTTTTTTTTGTAACTGTGGGTGTCCAGGGCAGCTTGCGCACACCTCGACTAATCCTATAGGACTCTAATGATAATTGTCACAAAATCACTAGCATAGTAGTTGTTTTCGTGAAAGCCGTAAGCTTTTGGCTCGTTCACATAAATATTAATAAAAACGAATGGGTGACTAAAGAAACGTTTATGGAACATCCCAAGGACTTTACCGTAGTAGCCTTGTCAGCATACGCCATTGCTTTCCCGATCAATTGAGCCCCAAATTCGAGGTTATGAATTGTGAAGACAATGCGTGCTTTAGTCAGACCATAATGCATATACTGGTCCTTAAATAACCATGCAACTGGTGCACTAGACCAGTCATGACAATGAATCACGTCCTGCAAAACAAAACAACACTCCTTACCACCAATTATAATTCTACTAGTTGTGAAGCACCTTCATCAAGGGACGGAGTTGACGATTTTAAAACTTCTATCAACTATTATCTATAACTTTGAGTTCTAGAAGACTCCGTCTAACTTTTCGAACTATTGAACTTGACTTCTTGTGGTAAACATAATATACATAGTTTCTTTCCAAAATGCAAAATAATCAGTACAGTTTGCAAAAATGAGTGATTTTAGACAAAAGTATCCACATACTATGGTATCTTTTCATTTAAATTTATACAATGTATCCAGAATTGCTCATTTTTAGAAGTGCTTTTTACACATTTTCACAACAATGATAATTTGAAAACCAAGTACAATGGCTAGTCACTCATACATTCATATGAAAAAACCTCTTCATCCCAAATAGTAGCTCAACTTTGAGAAATACTTGTAATTATACTTTGTAAACTCTTTGAAGCTTCTGTAGTTTTTGTAGTTTGAGTGATTCTGTAGTAAAAGTAAATAAGGTACTCCAATTATAGTTTTAAAAATTGCCAAACAAAGAAACTTCGAAGTTTTCACAAAAATTGCTATGATTTTTGTAGGTTGCATGAAGGGAGCATGTCATACTTAGTCTATTGAGAATAATAAATTTATAATATATCTTTGCTAGTGAACCCTTCTCAATTATGACAAAACCAAAGGAGCCCAATGTGTCCCACCCGGAGGTGGGCTCGGGTTGGGATGTATGCAGACATGCCCTCTACCCCAAAGGATAGAGTGGTCGTTTTTCGTGAAGACCCCGCGCTTGCAAAAAGAGCCAACATAGAATATGTGGACAGTAAACAAAGTATGATCATGCTTCCACCTAAAGCTTACAGGATGAGATCCACTTTGAAGAAGGAATTCAAGAGCAGCATGACAGAAAAAACCAAATCTTTCTGCATCATTTTTGCAACCGTAAATGCATCCTGCCCAAAAGAGTCTGACAGATACAAATAGCTTACATCAGGTGTTATATATGATATCAGAAAAATTAAGCGATATCGGAGATGTTAATGGTGAAATAAGAGTATTCTTTACCCATTTTGAGGCTCCAGAAAGTAGACAGAAAGTCCTTCAACTTTTCCAAACCAAACTTTAATTTCAGTCCCACCCCAAAAGTAGCTCTTATGAAAACCAAAGTCCTTCACCTGTAGCAAAAGGAAAGGAAAAATCTGTCATAAACCAAGCATGCACCAGAGTGATATAAGCCCTCTAATACAAAACAAAAAACACAAAACACAAAAAGGAACACGATAATTCATAAAAATGAGCAATTTTGGCAAAAAAAATGCCAAGTGTGAAGGATCTGGTGCATTTGCATTTGCACAATTTGTCCAAAATTGCTCATTGTTACAAACTACAGAGTTCTTTTTACATTTTTGTAACAAGCATGGTTAGTTTGCAACAAAAAGTCAAATATAATAGTTCTCAAAGTCAATAAATCCAGACAGACTGACTCTTCAAAGATTTTAGCGGTGAACTCACAGGATTGCTTCAACAAAAGTCTACGGTAGTATATTACCTCGAGAATTACAAATTATCAATGAAAAGCTTATAAGCCCAAACAAACAGCAGCGAAGCTTACATTGCTAAGATTTAAGCAATCATACTTTGGAAGAATGATATCCACGGTGTGGTTTAAATCCTGAACAGCACGAGAAAGACTAGTGACAACATCAGCAAGGCCTCCCACCTGGAAAAACAAACACAAAAGGGGAATATGCATAATTTCAAAGTAATTGACCATTAATATGCAGGTAAGTAGAATAATACTTAAGAGATAAACGTACTTTCAATAATATTTGGTTTCATATCAAATCATTGACTCATTGCCTATCCTTTTCTTGATCACAAGAAAAGCAACTCATCTAAACCATTAAGTTGTTTATATCCTCCTCATGCATAGTTTCCCACTAAAACTCTTGATCTAGGACTTCTTAATATAACATCCTGATCTACATTCATTTCATAGGAGTAGCTAGATACAACGCAATTGGCATTGCCAACTCCTTTGGTGGATAGGCTATATAAGAGTGGTTGAATATCGATTTTGATTTCGACTGCAAACTATTATGGGACTTTGTGAATGGAGAGGATGTGAGAAGGGGGCAACATCCCCTTCATCCCAAACTTCAAGAGGAATCAGTTATGATGGTTAAGGATGACAGGTTTCCTACCTTATCCTTTTGTCGTCCTATCTTTCTTTTTAATGGGGTTCTCTTCCTTCATGTAGTTTTCAGTATTATAAATCCTAGTATCACCCTTTGTTGCAGGACTCATGGTTAATGAATCTATTTTTTGTAAGATTTATTTGTTATGTAGTTTCCTAAAATAAGTTGTGTATAGTTGTCATTTGTTATTTAGTTTCCTGCAGCCATATCTGTCTACCCCTGGTTCTCCACCAGATGAAATATTGCAGCCATTTTATGTCTGAAGTTTCAAATACGGGTCCACCTACTGCGGAAGATATACTCTCTCAACTGCAACTCACAACCTCACCTTGGAATCTCACTCCATCTTCCTCAGAAAGGAACTCATCAAAAATATTCTCTAAAGGGGAAGTTAGAAGAAGAAATTTTTGGGGGATTTCCTACAAGTCTTTGCCTAAAACTATTGTTTCTTGTAATCTTGTTACTACATCAAATACTAGCCGAACATCTGAAGAAAAAAAAAACGAACCTTCAAATAGAAGGGACATTACTGGTGCACAGGAAATAAGTGATCCTGAACCTATTCTGCCAAATTTTCCTGAACCTCCGACAAGGGAATAAATATCACTCCACGGTTCTAACAGAACAAGATAAAGAGCTCCTTACGTATTGAAGGAAGAAGGGTCATCAGAAAGGCAAGAACCACCGTTCCCTTAGCACTAGTTCAATCATCTAATCATCTGCTCCAAGAACATAACCTGAAACTCTCAGGGTTTTCATTACATCCGACCTGTTAATGAATGGTGGCATGGGACCCCTGGTTATGGAAGTAATCTTCAAGCCAGCTTGAGAAGTGTTGCAAGACACAGTTAATGAGTTTATTTTAGTAAGATTTATTTGTTATTTAGTTTCTTAAAATAAGTTGTGGAGAGTTGTTATTAGGTTGTCAAATACCATATTTTCTTGCTTTTATTTCTAGGATTTCTTCTACAGTTGGTCCTTTGTACAACTATATATATATATATTGTAACATTTTAGAATATAAATATACACAAATTACCATATAATCTGATACCTTAGGTGTGACCAAATTGGGGAACTGTGTAAATATTGTGTTTGTTCATTTCCCATCATTGTAAACGTGTGCAAGACTTCAGTTATAACAAGAATTTTCAATAGATATGTATGGTTCAAATCTTATTTGTTATATCTATTTATATATATTACAGTTTGAAAAAGGTAATAAAAAACTTGTAATACGAAATTCAAAGATCACCTTTGCAATGGGAGCCATTTCAACAGAAATATGGACAATATGCATTGGGGGCTCCTTCGTAACTCCTCCGGACACTGGTATGTGGTAGTCCATACCATTTTTATTGTCAAAAACACCATCATCGATTTCCTTCTCAGAGAATACAAAGTCCATCATATAAGCATCTAGTGGGACCTTAACTGCATGACAATGAAAAAAGAAATTGTATCAAGCATGTCTCTCTCGTACATATAGAATGTTCTGATACATGGATGTAACATTACTTTCATGAGGAAAAAGAAAAAGAATGTCACCATTTTACAATAAAGTTAAGTGATTATCAATTGGGCTCAAGTGAGAAGGTGTGATTGGCAGAAAATTTTGAGAAGGGCAAATGCCATTGTCTCAAAAAGGATGTTTCTGACTGTAGCTACCAGTCACAAAGGTGCAAGCTCATCGTCTCTTCCAATGCTTTAATTCTATAAAAGAATTAAAAAATCAAATAAACCTGCTGATTTGTTTATTGTAAGAGAGAAAAAAAAATTAAGCGTCTGAAAGGGTGCACCCACTTGATTTTGAAGGATTCTCTCAAATATTTGAAACCAAATTTATAATAGATATCAAACATGGTGAGATGGTTTAGATGCTTAGATTAAATCGTGGGATACAATTGGTTGCAGGTTCAATTCTTACATCTAGCAAATATATCATTTTTGATCTTTTAAATTTCACCTCCCGGCGCCCATGGGCCCTACAAATGTTATTACTAAAAATTTCAACGATAAAGATACAGCTACAAGGATCGGACTCACAACCTCAAGTATAATTATAAACATAACTTACCACTACAGCAGGGGAAGCTTCGTGTTTATCTTTCTCCCATTTTGACTTTATTACTTTTCTTCATGATTTATTTTCCTTTTCATTGAACATTCATCTTAAAAGTCATCATTTTCTATCTTGTTCTCAAGGCTAAGATATATTTATTTCAAAGGTCAAGGTCGATTCCTTTTCAAAAAATGTATTTTATTCTTCAAATTGACACAATTAACTTTTCCCAGGTCAAACTGCATTGACTTTCCCCGGTCAAACCACTACTTTGTGGACCATTGATCTAGCTTAAAGGTGCACCCGTTCAAAACCTTGGAAAGAATAATGGAAATTCATGATCAGTTTATTTAATTTGCGACTAGACAACAGCTTACCAGAGGTTTTGACATGCAGCCCATTATCTGCCGGCAACATTTTCTGTGGTGGCAAAAGGCCCATGCGGTGTGTCCACCGATTAAAAGAACATCTAAACCATACTTCAGGCTTCCCATTTAGCACGGTATTGGTGGGGTTGTAGTAAACTGTCACAAGGCCGCCTGCTTGCACATCAAGAGGATCCGTGTAGACTATGTTCTTTTGTGACAACAAAAATGTTTTCATAGTTCTTTCTTTTGTTTCAGCTCTTATGCGTGCTGTTTTTTCAGCCTATAAAAGAGAGAGCACAAAAAACAATTAATTAATTATAAAAAAATTCAAAAAAATGAAAAGGCAAACATAATCTCATCTGTATATCATGAACATATGACCTTAGCTCGAACTTCCTCTTCTCTTAGCCTTCTCTCATTCTGAAGTTTCTTGTATATCTCATGTTCTTCCTCGGCCCAAAAGAGATCTTGAGGAATAGATAAGGGGACAACAGCATGGAAATCTTGGCGAAGATTATTATCATAAAGGGTGGCGTGCTGAGGTGAACCATCAGCAAAAACCCAATCCAAGACAAGTGAACGACTGGGGACGACAACTATAATAATATCGAAGATTAACTCTTGTGAGCGAATTGGATTAATTTAAAAGACTACATTTGAAGATATTGCATAAACATGACGAGCATAACAACAAGAGAAGGATGCCAAGGCATAATAAACATCTTCTGGTGAGGTTTCCCCAGTCTTCAAAAATAAAATAAAATTCTATTTATTCAATTTACAAGAACGTCTGGCACCACTTATCCTGAAGAACCCAATACCCATCTACGATCTTCTATGAACATTTACCAAAAGTAGAGCCTTTTATACTTATATCTAAAGAAGGGAAGTGAAAAGGAGAAGCTGCATGAGCTTTCATTTTCTTTTTATACATAACAAAGAGATCTATTTGAAGCCTATTCTGATCGTAGAGAATAGGCAACATGCCAAAAAATTCTCCTAATAATTCCCAGAAGCCTATTTGGTACCATTTTATTGATTATACTACTCTTAATTATATTCCTTAATTTCTTTAAATGATACCCAATTAAAGATTAATGGTTTTATGATTAAATACATCATGCATCCAGGCTGAAGGAAACTTGTAGATCTGCCACTTACTATTGACTCCTCCCTAAATTAAATGTCACTATTCTAGAGACGCGTTATTACGCAATCACAATCAATCATGTGGTTTAGTGTTGCAACAAAAAAGGCTATCTAAGCTAACTATGATCATAGGAAAATGCAAACATTACCCCATCTGTGCAAAATAAGTATTACATTTTACTTGGTAGGTTATCCAGAATTAATGGTACGTTTCCCATACTGGTGGAACTTCCCAAATGTGATTTAAGTTTCTAACCAAAATCAGTCAAGTTGATCACCAAATCACCACGTGCTGTACATAATTTTTCTCTTCCTCTTGGAATTTCACGAATTTGACCTAACTAAAAACTTTGATTGACCAAAAGTACAGGATAGTAGTTAAGAGGTTAACCACATAGCCACACTTTTAAAAAAGATGCATAAATGTCCAAATATAGCAATCCTTTTACGCCTTTGCATAAAAATTTCCGATGTTTGACTTGGCATGCAGGTTAAGAAAACTTTTGGACCATTTGTCAAATATCTAGATACCCTTTTTAAATACAAACAAAGAAATCTTGTCGACCGAGATCAATGACATCTATCTATTTGTAGTGATGATGATGGGAAAACAAGTTTAACATGAAAACTTCCAAACGAAATACAAAACAAGCAATTATTTTGCTCCTTCTTTGTATGAAACGTTTGACTTGGTACATAGTTTAAGGAAAGGGTTATAATATTTTTTAAATATCTAAAATACCCTTCAAGAAAGACAAACAAAGAAATCTTGTGGACCCAAGTCAATGACATCCCCTATTTGTGATGATATCAGTAATACAAGTCATTTTAATATGAAAACTTTCCAAAGAAATTCAAAATACAGCTATTCTTTTACTCCTTCCGTCCATGGAAAATACAATGACCGACTTGAAACATAGTTTTAAGGAAAATATTTTACTATTATTCAAATATCCAAAACAATTAACATAAACAATAGAATCTAGTAGGTCCAAATCAATCACATCAACTTATTTGTAATTATGATAATGGACAAATTGGAAACTTGACCAGGTGACCTTTCTGAAAAAGGAAATGTTGTAATTTTCATGGGACAGGGGGAGTGCGGAAAATGGAGCATATCAACAGACTTCAAATATGGCAAAATGTTGGAACAAAAGAAGATAAATGCATAAAAACATGCATGCTATTTATTATGAGTGAAATATGGATACCGTTGCATACCATCAGCATACCACCAGTCTCCATCTTTTTCCACAGACTTGTCAAGCTTCTCGACAATTGACAATCCATCTTTCCAGTTATTATACCCTCCATGAATCCATATATCTTTAGCATTTGAAAGAGGACCTACATTATTGTTATAATACAACTTAACCATATCTCCGCCTTTGAACTCAGTAGGTTCTATGTACCATGTATTGTCAACAAACTTCACAGCCTTTTTCAGAACTTCTTGAAGTATTCCTCTTCTTCTCTCGGCTTCATCTCTAGCCTGAGCTCTATCGGCTTCACTCGACGCCTTCTCTGATTCAATCCGCCTTTGTTCTTCTGCTTGCCTTTCTCTCTCAGCTTGTTCTCTCGCAAGTCTCTCAAGCTCTCTTCGTTTTTCCTCAAGCAAGAGCTCTTCAAATTCAAGAACATTCATTCCACCCTCCACAGATATACAGAAATCTTTCATGTCATTGTTTTCATAAACATCTTTCCCGTTAAAGAACACAAAGTCTATCTTGTATGCTTCCTTTGGAACATGAATTTGGCAAGACCACCACTCCCCACTGAACTTTGTCTTGTTTACTTTTACAGTGAAAGACTTATATCGCCAGTCGTTAAAGGCTCCCATGATCAAAACATCAGATTCGCCAATTAAACTAGAAATAGTTTTGTTAAGAAATATTTCTATATCTTGATCAGGTGTCACAATCTCAGGATAACAAAAGACTTTCTCACCTTTAACAAGAGTCTCACTAGCAAGCCTCTTGATTTCTTGTATACGTAAATTTGCTTGCATCTCCTGCCTACGCCGCTCTTCTTCCATCTCTTTCTTACGTAAATTTGCTTCCATCTCTTTCTTACGTAAATTTGCTTCCACTTCCAGCCTTAACTTTGGAGAAGCTTCCTCATTATCCTCATTTTGACTGCGTAAAGTCTCAATTCGATCATCACCATTCTTGATTGCATCTAGTTGCTTTATTTGTAATCCCAATGTACTCATTTCATTCGTGATATCACTATTTACATTTGTACCCTCATCAGCCGTGCTAGTGCTCCCATTTTCATCCCTTTGACTAAACTTGGCAACAGCCAATGCTTTTCTACCAGAAGATATCTCCTCCGTCATCTTTGTTTCAAGAATGTCATCATCCTCCAGATTTTTATCAACTTCAACGTCAAATTTACTTTCTCTTTTGGTGTGATTCGCATACTCTGTAGAAGTAGAAGGATCCAGACCTTCTTTCCCTTCAAGCATTTTCCGATCCTTCCTCAGGTTGCTTGGTTTAGGCTTAAATCCCTTTGGTGCAGAGTCATTTGCCCTTGGACTCAACATTTTCAACCGTCTTTTTCTTGAGAAGCCTACAACATACCCAATTAACGCCAAATTCCAAATGATTATGAAAACCTGAACTATTTTCTCAACAATTTTACTATTAGAACTTCATTAAATATTCAATTTTATGCCAAATCTCAATAACTTGCCTGATCTTGCAGTGACCCGATGTGAGAACCCAGCAACCAAAGAATATTTGTACCACGAACAAGTTTGTGTAAACTACACATAAATATAATTAAGAACAATTATCCCACAAAAAGGGGAAAAATATGAAGCTAATAAACCACCCAAATTAGTGTTGAAACTTCCTTGAAAGTCTCACGCAGCAAATTGATAGCACAAAACAACTAAATGTAGCTACCAATTGACAAAACATAACCATTTATACGAACATCAATCATGATTGACTTGCAAAATCGATCAGAAAACACAAAAACCTAAAGCAAATAATACTTAAATCAGCCGTATCAGAGAACGATCCACCCAAATTCGATCCATACGTGTGCAAATTCACAGACATTTCATTCAAAAAGAAACCCACAAAAAGAAAAAAGAAACCATTCAAAGAAGAAACCCACAAAACAACATTCAATTGATTCGAAGTTACATAAAAAGAAATCATCCAAAATCAATAAAGAAGATGATCGATCTTTACCTGTGAAAACAAATTTGTTCTTCTGGTAGTGTGAAACCCGATAACAGGTTTAATCTTCACAAGGGCTTTGTCCCTGAGAACTGTTCTTCCACAACACAGGGGTGTCTGAACCTGTAAAGCTAATTCCATGGCTGCCCACCTTCTCTGTTCTTGAATCTTGACCACAAATTCACCTGAAAATTACCCTCTTGATCTTTATCACTTCCTTCTCTGTATCAGTGCATAATAACTTCGATAACCGTGACTCGTGGAATATATACAATTCGAGAAATAGAGTGAGAAATAAGAGTGTAATAAGAAGTAGACTACAAGATCATGTTTGCAAAATCTGGGCCTCAAGGCTGTTGCAAATGCATGTGATTAGAAAGTTTGTTAATTTTTTCTCTAAATAAATTACAAAATCAGTCCCTGTACTATTCGCCAACTGCCAATTTTAGTCCAACTGCTATTCTTTTACACTCATGGTTCAATGGTGAAGAATTATGTCATTTAAGCCAATCACAGGCATTTGTTTTTGTATTAAGGGGTTGTTTGTTTGTTGAATACTGGACTTGATACCTTGATGGTATGGTGTGCTTATTCGTTCAGTAATATTTGAGTGTCTGTTTGCAACTTAATCTGAAAGCCATCCAATATTGTTTGTGTTGATCCAGCCTTCAAAGTCAGTGCAAAACTTCAGACGCCGCCCCTTCTCTTCCTATTACGTGCATCAGATATCTCTTTCTAATCCAGGATCGCCTGTCTTCATTGTCCTTCATCGCTTCGTCATCCCTCCTTACTGTTGTTTCGCTTCTTGTCATTTTTGTCTCTGTCTCATCATCGTTTTGTTCCTCATTGTTGTTGCATTCCTCTCCGCCTCATCAATTATCTCCTTATTGGTGTTGTCTTCTTTTTATCCTACTCGCTATGGTCCTCGTCACTCTTGCTACAGGCTTCGACAGTTGTTGCCTTGTCATCGTCTTTGCTAATCACAGGTTTCTCATTGATTTTGGAAATCAAATCCAAGATTCAAAACCTTATTCCTCGATCAAGGTAAAGGAGATCAAAGCAACCAACATTGTCATCTATGAAGGAACAGATGTCATCCATGTCACTGATGTTGTAGACCAAGTGGTTAAATTTATGACTTGTTGCCACGATAGAACTGAAGGTTTGCATGATGGTCGAAGCACCATTCGTAGCAGTACAAGAAATAAAACATCACTGTGGCTACTGGAGAATGGAGTGGATCTTGATCCATTATTTATTTTATATTTTCACTTTGAGCAAATTGCATGAAAAAGTAACGTACTTTAATTTGATTCATATTTTGGATAACATACTTTTGAAACTTCCATTTTGGCACCTAAGACGTAAAGTTCTAACCATTTAAGTACATGGGTAACCGGTTGAAAACTAATTTTAGATTTAAAAAAAAGACTAATTTTAGATTAAAAAACCTATGTCACTAACCACGTCAGCTACTGAGTTGGATATCACATTACTCGTCACATCAGCATGATAAACGGTTAATGCTTCAACCCGTTACCTGAGTACTTAATTGTTTAAAACTTTACATCTTATGTACCAAAATGAAAGTTTTGAAAATACGTTCCCAAAATAAAAATCAAGTTAAAGTACGTTATTTTTTTATGTAACTTGTCGAGGTATGTAAATACAAAACATACTAATCAAATGATAATGATGATTATTTAACAATTTTGCCTTGAGATACCTTTCACATATGAAAGATGCCAATTTTGGTAAACGAATGTGTATTTTGATTATATACGAAAATGAAATAAAATTAGTTTTTAGGCTAAAATTGCAAGTTGGTAAATAGTCAAGGGGTGATTTTTGTAATTTACACTTTATTTATATGGACGGTTGGAATATATTTGAATATTATTTTCATTTATCTTGATAAATTATTGAGAAAATCATTAAAGTTAACTATTGAATTTTTAATAACTTCTAAATCAACACATTTTAATAAATTATATTATTATATTATTTTTTCCTATTATATTCAACACATTTATAATTCTAAATGAAGTTAAATGTAAATATATATATATATATATAGGGGCCTAATCAGATGAAAACTAATTAGTTTGTGGTAACTGTGAGAACCAATATTAACCACAAATCAATAGATAAATTAGGAAATTTATAATTTTGGCAATTTTGAATTAAAATTTTAATGCAAAGATATTTTTGGTATTTTACAACTTTCCTCTCTCCTCTCTTCTCTCTCCGGCCACCGTCCGCCGGCCACCGTCCTCCGGTGATACTACAATGGTATCACAATGCATCATATATGTGTTTGGGTATCACATTGATGTCGTTTGTGTGGTCGATCGAAGATGTAACACAGTGGTATCACTATGCATCTTATATATGATTAGGTATCACARTGTATCTTTTGTTTAACAGAGTCAATATYTTTAGGTATCACARTGGTATCATAGTGGTATCACCGGAGGACGGTGGCCGGAGAGAGAAGAGTTTTAAAATACCAAAAATATCCTTGCATTAAGATTTTAATTTAAAATTACCAAATTTATAAATTTCCTAATTTATCTATCGATTTGTGGTTAATATTGGTTCTCACAGTTACCACAAACAACTCAGTTCTCCCTTGAATAGGTCCCTATATATATATATATATATATATATATATTAGATCAGTTTTTTATTTTAAGTAATACAGTTTTTCACGATATGTTGTCATTTTGCGTAAAATCATGAAAGTGTGTCGTCTAAAATGAACGGAAATTTCCCATATGTTGTACAAACAGGTGAAGTTCGAGTCCGAGAACCGCAAAATGGAATCACAATAAGTGTTGGGGTCTTTGGCACTGATTTAAGTCCCTCCAATGCTACTGAGATTTTCTTGTCCGTTCTCCAGGTACTCATGGGATAGTCAAGGTGCCTACAAACTGACACATACACCTTCAGCTAATAAGTCAGTGACCTAGTAGATAGTTGTGTATCTGATTTGCCTATCACATCATACTATTAAATAAAACAGTGTGGTCTGATCTTGGACTGTCGGTTATAAACCCTCTTTGTAGAAGCAAACGTTATTGTTTGACATAAATAAAAATACATTATTATTTTACATAAAAATATATATCAACTAAAATGAAATATTCAATCGTACTCATACAAAAACCAAAAACGTCGTTATTACGCTTTTCGTATCTTGAAAGCATGTTTTCTGATTTTAGAGATAATGGTCCCCGTTTTCTTTTACCGAATTTAATTGGCTAGGGATATATGTGATATTAAAGCATTTATTGTGGGAGTTTTAAACTGGTTCGATGACCTGTCGAAGCTTTTTTTCTGAATAAAATCTACTGTCTCAAACTTTTATATTTCATTTATATCCATCAACCATATAAATGCACATTATGAAAGTGAGAATGCAAATATAAATTAAATAAATATATATCAAATAAAACTCTGATTTGTGTCCACGAAACTGGTGGAACAAGAAAGAAATAGGAGAATATTCTTCCGTCACAAGGAAACAGTTCTTACTTAAGTGGAAAAGAATGGGTCTACAAATAGGATCGGTCTACACCACTAAAATAAAGGCATATATTTATTTAATTTTTAATACTGAAAATTGCTCTAAGATTACAGTTCAACAAGATTCTTTTAGTATTAATAAATACTGGTAAATTTATAATATGATAACAGGGTTTTATCGGTTATAAAGTTTGGGATTACTTTCGAATAAGTGGTAATAGTTGAGAGTTGTTTTTAAAATTTGGTTAAAGTATCTCCTTCCAAACCGTCTTTATATTTAAAATATATATAAATGAGTTCTTTTAAAAGGTATCTTGTTTTTGGGATTTTGAGAAGAGAAAGTCTTCTGTGTGTTTTCTCTGGTTCGAAGTAAACCAAAGAAAAGGAAGAAGATACTGGTTTTTGTGATTCTTAGCTGAAATCCGCTGCTGATTATTATTCTCATCTCTTTGTGATTATAAGGTGAGTTTTTATTTTGGGAAAATTGCACCAAAATGGAACCAACTTTCACATGATTCTTATTTTGGAGAACGAACTTTCAAAATCGTCATTTTGGGGAACCAACTTTCATCTGATTCTTATTTTAGGGAACCAACTTTCAAAATCGTCATTTTGGGGAACCAACTTGCACCTAATTCCTATTTTGGGGAACCAACTTGAAAAATAATTATAGAAAAATGGGAAAATTACACCAAAATGGAACCAACTTTCACCTGATTCCTATTTTGGGGATCCAACTTTTAAAATCGTCATTTAGGGGTCTCTATCGAACTTTTTGTTTATTTAAGGGTCTGATTGATCTGTTGAACAGGTAACAGATAATTTAAGGGTCTCTATCAAACTTTTGGTTGGATTTGCCAAATTTGATTTAAACTTTAATATTGACACAGATTGGTTAGATATAAAAATCTTGAATGTGATATTTAATATTTATTTTTTATTGCATCAATTAATTTTTTTCTATTAAATTGATTTTTTATTGCATTAGTAAAAAACAATTTTTATCGTGGTAATTTGGATTTTTTTCGAAAAATCTTCAATTTGATATCTGAATTTAAAAAAACGAGATTTGAAATGAAAAATAGATTTTATTGCATTAATTTTTTAAAAGAAATGAATTTTAGTTATTTTTCTATAATTATTTTGCAAGTTGGTTTCCCAAAATAGGAATCAAATGCAAGTTGGTTCCCCAAAATGACGATTTTGAAAGTTGGTTCCCCAAAATAGGAATCAGGTCCAAGTTGGTTCCCCAAAATGACGATTTTGAAAGTTGGTTCCCCAAAATAGGAATCAGGTCCAAGTTGGTTCCCCAAAATGACGATTTTGAAAGTTGGTTCCCCAAAATAGAAATCAGGTGAAAGTTGGTTCCATTTTGGTGCAATTTTCCCTTTTATTTTAAAACATCATTTGATTGTGTTAATACAGAACCATATGATTATATATATGGGATGATTTAAAACTGATTATATGTTATTTTTAGCATAATTTCGTGTTTTGATATGTTATCAATTGTTTGGAATAAGGGAGACATGACCAGGAGATGTGTATTTTGGGATAAAGGTGGCATAATCATGAAAGACGTGTTTTGAGATAAGGATAGCATAATTAGAAGAGACGTATATTGGAATAAGGGTGACAAAACCTTCTGTATGTTAAAAATGGGACTTGGATCATGTGAAAATGATATTGCATCTGTATGATTTATCACATTTGTGTGATGTGATGAGTTGGTGTTATCGCATCCTTGTGATGCGAGTAAAAATATTATCGCATCATTGGGATGCGATGAATGAGTTGTGTATCTGATTTGCCTCTCACATCATATTATTAGATTAAACAGTGTGGTCTGACCTTGGATTGTCGGTTATAAACCCTCTTTGTTTAAGCAAACGTTATTGTTTGACATAAATAAAAAATACATTATTATTTTACATAAAAATATATATCAACTAAAGTGAAATATTCAATCGTACTCGTACAAAAACCAAAAACGTCGTTATTACACTTTTGGTGTCTTGAAAGCAGTTTCCTGGTTTTAGAGATAATGGTCCCCGTTTTCTTTTACCAAATTTAATTGGCTAGGGATATATGTGATAATGCTTTTATTGTGAGAGTTTTAAACTGGTTCGATGACCTGTCGAAATTTTTTTCTGAATAAAATCTACCGTCTCAATCTTTTATACTTCATTTATATCCATCAACCATATAAATGCACAGTATGAAAGAGAGAATGTAAATATATATATATAAAATAAAAGTCTGATTTGTGTTTATGGAACTGGTGGAACAAGAAAGAAGTAGGAGAATGTTCTTATTTAATTTTTAATACTGAAAATTGCTATAAGATTACAGTTCAACAAGATTCTTTTAGTATTAACAAATACTGGTAAATAATGTTAAACCAACATATATTTATAACAGATGTTTCTATTATCTGTAAATAATGTTAAATCAACACTAGTTTCCGAGTCAATTTTTATTAGAAAAATTATTTCTTCATTATTTAAATATTATATATTATGTATAAATAATGATGCAAAAACATACAAGTATTTAAAGCATTACAAATATGTTGAAGTATTTGTATATATGTTTAGAACTGTTAAGTTATGTTTGACAAATTAACTGATAGCTGACAAACTAATTACGTTTAATAAAAACTATAAACTAGTTAAAATAGTTAATAATAATTTTACGTAATTAATATTAATGAATAATGAATAACAAATATCTATATCTATATATATTTATAAAGCAGAATCATGATAGGTTGACATGACATCTCCTCGATGCAGAGATCTTATTTTCCTCTTTTTTCCACATTTTGACTTTTCTTTCCTTGGTAATTTTGCAAATTAATGTTCACATTTAACTCAAAAACTCTTTCCCTTCTCTTGGTACGTTTCAACTCCAACCACCACCGTCCATCGCCACCACCATTAGCCACCTCCACCTTCTCCTCTACTACAACAACCTCTTCTACCACCTCCACAACCACCATTGGCCACTTATCACCATCATTCACCACCACCACCACTACCACCGTAGGCCATCTTACCTCCACCATAACCGCCACAACCATCGGCTACCACTACCACAACCCACCATAACCACCATCTCTACTCCATTGGCCACAACTATCTCCTCCACCATTGTCGACTGCCACTACCACTACTATCCACCATCTTCACGTCCTCTACAACTATCTTCATCCACCAACCACCACTACCTTTACCTCCACAACCACTGTTGGCTATCGACCACCACCACCCATCGCCACCACCACTAATACCGTCGGCCATGACAACCTTCACCAGAACCACCACTACCTCCACCATATTGGTCACAACTAGAGGTGTGTAGAAAATCAACCGATCCAATCGAAACCAACAGATCCAATTAGAACCGACCGATCATAATTGGATATTCATTTGTAATTGGATCGAATTGGATTGAAAATTTCAACATCCAATTTGGATCAGTCGGTTTTCGGATGACAGTTCAGAACAAACCAAAACCTAATCAAACCGAACCGACCAACATTCAATCACCCATCCAATTAATCATCTGATGACCATCCAGTTATCCATCCAACCATTATCCAACTATCATCCGATTAATTTGTTTTCAAATTGTTTAAATCGGAATTTGTTTTGTGTGAAGTTTTGAATTTTTAACTTCCCTTGCATTGATTTTAACACCTATTAAAATTGATTAATTAATTTTTACCAGTGTTAGAGAATTTGATTGAATTAACACACTGGATAGATCTAATCCCATAGGATCATCCATTGGATATCCGATGGATATAACCAAACCGATCCAATCATCCATTGGGTTGGATTGGATCGGTTTTCCAATGTTAATCGGATCAGATTCGGTTGGCAAAATGCAACATCCAATAGATGAGTGGATCAGTTTTGGTTCATCTTACATCTAATGGATGTCAAGGGTCTTTTTCCAGTCAAAATTTACTAATAGGCAATCCCCTTTTTCCGTGAAAATGCGAAAGGACTCAATTCCGTCTAACCCCACCTACCTGTTTTGCCCCCTTTCCAAGGCAACAAAAGCAGACCGGATGGGGTAATGCTCTTTTAGAAGCTTGTCTAAGGCAAATGATGAGCAAGCCTAGTCACAACTACCTCATCCACCACTATTTAGCGCAACCACCATTACCAACTACCATTTTCACATCCTTTGTACAATCAGATTTTTTCGAACTATCATCAATTTATATCATATTTTTCGTCTAAATTTGATCCCGAACCCGATCCCCAGTTTTGCATGGAATCCCCGTCCCCATTGACGCGAGTACAACGGGTTCGCAATGGGGCAGGTTTCATTCCCATGCCTATGTATGTATTTTTGTATATGAAAATTGTGTAAAAATGTTTATAAATCAAACTATTTAATTATTTACTTTATTTGTGTTGCTTATAACTATTACATGGTATATAAAATAATCAAATAACTTTTGGGGGACAACTTGTCTAGTTCTATAATGTTCAATCTTAGTCGTACAAAATACCATAAAAAGACTTGTTATGTACAGTCCTGTCCAAGTCTCATCATTTCCAATCCAGTTTTGTCTTGTCCAGTCATGTCTACGTACCAAAAGCTACCTAAATAACGATTTTAAAAGTTGGGTTCTCCAAAATAAGAATTACATAAAAGTTGGTTCCATTTTGATACAATTTTCTCTTAAAAAAGTTTAAAAACTTAATCATTTAAAATACAAAAGTTCGTTAAGTTTTTCTTTCTCATGCAACGATTAGGTTATTTGATTTTTTATCTCATCTGAATTTATTAAGCATTAATTTATCTGAATAAATCAAAATATTTGTTATTGTCTTAAATAAATAGCATGAATAACAAGAATTACCATTTTAACCTTTCGTCTGTATAAATACCATGTTTAGGCTTTACCCGTCCTATTTGATCCTTTATCAATGCATTAACTACCGATCCCATTTCAGTCGTAACCGGCTTCCAAATGACCGGTTAAAGTTAACATGTTAAGACCGACTTTTCTCTAAATTGCCACATGGCGTTCACCCATTGGTCAACAGACACGTTAAAAAAGGTCGGTCATACCGACCCACATCAGTTACACATTGTGGGTTAGGAACCACTTAAATGGATCCGACACCAAATCAAATTCATATGAAAAAAGTTAACACGCTATGACGATCATTTAACACAACGGCGTTCGCCATCATCAACCCCACCCACCGCTAATAACATCACGGACGATAACGAAAAGATCGCGATAGTAAAACAAAATAAGAAAAAAGAATCGAAATCCAAATTAGTAGTAAACAGTCACTAGAGAAAGTATCTCATCATTAAACTACTCAACATGCCCAAAGACAACACAAACTATCATCAAGTAGTTGCTAAAAAGGGAACAAAAAAGATGTAAGAAAGGCCGTAGATCATTTTTCCGACCTTTTTTGGTTAATTTTATGGGTTGGGGATTGCGGCAGCCGCCTCTCCGCTAAAACTATCAAAATCAGAATCTGAAATTAGGATCCACGTCCATCGACCAGGCAAACTTCGCTAGTAGAGACTTGTTGAAAACCTGCACCCGATTCACGTATACATTTCACGGGGTCACTTTTACAAACTAACCTTAAACATTCCAGTGTTTTTTCAAATAACCTTCTGACGTATTATTTTTTAATTGTATAAACTTCTGACAGATTTAAGAACGTCTTTGCCTAACATAAGAATGTTTTTTCCTAACACAAGAACGTTTCACAATTTGTCCAAAGGTCATGCATTTAAAAAATTTGTCCAACAGTGATTCTCCTAAATAACCCTTTACATCATAGGCACGTTATACGAAGGTTATACGTATAATCTTTTGAAAAAGCTCATGCTCTTAATTGAAAACTCATTTAAGGTCATTTAACTGTGCATGAAGACTCGATTGCTTTGCAGATGATTGGGCTAAGGATACTCTCTCCGTCCCAAAATAAATGTCCACAACGAAAAAAACACACAATTTTAGAAATGTGTAATTCTTACACTTTCTAATTTACCGAATGACAACTTTACCCTTAATAAAAAACCACACCATTTTAGACATGTATAATCATTCGACTACATCTCATCAATTCTTAAATATGCATGCATCATAATTAAGGGTAGACATGGAAATTTAGTAAATTATAACTATCTATTCATGAAAGTGGACATTCGTTTTGAGACAAACTTCAATAGAAATGTGGACATTTATTTTTGGGACAGAAAAGTAAAAAAATAAAAAGAATTTGAAAAAGTAAGTTCTTAGTTCTTACCTTCTCAATGGGAACTTCGTGTCGTTTACACCACGCCACTGTTATCCTAGGGTCGAGGTAGTTTATCTTTGAAGTGCCCAATGCTACTGTTTTCAAATCTTCCTTGGTCTCTTTGTCACGTTCCATTTTCTCAATTTTAGCGTTAGTTTGAGCTATCTTCTTCGCTAGCCTGCAAGTTTTGTCAATAATTTCAACAATTAAGATAGCGTACATATTTTTAGCGTCAAAATCAAAGAAGATTGGTGATCTTACGCTTCGGGGTTCAAGTTCCTCTTTGGTTTGCCATCAGAGTTCTTCAATGGAGGCTTCCCTTTCTTTGCACGAACCAAATCGGTTTCTAATTCTTTTATAACACCCTATATAAGAGAAGAAGGCCAAAAGTACATATAATATGGTCAAATTTTAAGCTTGTTTAACTGGACCAACCCACACCATGAACTGAGCTTAGCCATTCACGCAGGGAGTGGCATGCACTCCTTTGCGGTGAGTCGAGTGAGTTTGGGCTCCTTAAAACTCATGGGTATGCCTACGGAGCTCTAATTTGCTATCTTTGTGCCATTGGGATGGCCACATTCCCGCCCAATCTGTCACAAATCATGGAAGTCCAACTTTGAACTAGAAAACATTTACATTATGAGTTCCGTTTAAATGTAATAAAACCAAACAGACCCAATATATTCCATACAGAAGTAGGGTCAGGAAGAGAAAGAGAGAGAGAGAGGGGGGGGGGGGGGGGGTTCA